CTGCGGTCTTTTCCCGAGGACTTTTCCCCACGTTTTTCGGGGGTCGGTACGCGAGATCGGGGAACAAGGATTTCTCCGGCGTGGAAGGCGGACGGTATCGCTGTTCGGCCTCGTACGAGTCTTCGGCTCGCGTGGCCACCAGCTCGAGCATGTCCATGTCCTCGATATCGTCGCGGCGTATGACGATTTGCAACCGCCATAACATATTTTGATACGCGGAATCCAGTTTTTCTTCCTCGGACCACGGGGGCGAGAGCCGATCGAACATCGCGGTCATGCAGGTGAGGTAACTTGACACGGACTCATGTTCACCCTGCGTGCGTCTCATTATCTCGTTTTTCAACGTAAACTGGAAATTTCGATTCTCGAATTTAGCACGCCACGCGGTTTTAAAGGCTTCCCAGGACGTGAAGCGCGACCGTTTACCCCGGAACCAGTGCAGGGCGAGATCTGACAAAAAGAATGGCATACAGCGGATTATATCCGCGTCCGATACGGGAATAACGTCGCGAGCCTCCTCGATGCGTAATAAAAACGTCTCAGCATCTTTGTCACGTGCGCCCGAGAATTTCAAATTCCATTTCCGCATTGTGTTGTAGGCGGAAGCGGTTTCACTTCGCGTGGTACGACCGTCGGTGTACGCGGACTCCCGAAAAAAAATTTAATAAACAAGAGAAAAATACTCCAAGTACCGGAGGTCGTTATTAATCTCGCGATTAAATTTTAGCTATTTTATTTACTGTCCGTCCCGAACCGCGGGTGTTATGGTAAACAGCGGATGTCGATTTCAAAACTCAAGACACGCCAATTCAAAATACGGGCCAGGGCGGGAGATGTCAACACGCTGAGAGTCGAAAGTCTAAACGTCACGATAATATTCCCGAAACGATAAGACGCGTGAAAAATAGTATTCTCGGTACAAAAATAAATGTCGAACTCAACATTCAATTCGGTTAAATTCAAAATATAACTCGAAGGACAGCGATAATTTGTCAATATCAGCCAAAAAGCCGAATAATATCCGAGAAATATAAACAAGTGATAACGACAGGGTCACTCGCACTCGTAAACACGACTTTATAATCCGTTGTTTGTCGGCAAAATTCGAGAAGCGATCTCTTACCTGACAGCGGCAATAATCGAGTTTATAATATTTTTTGGTTCCCCGAAATATCGAATTAATCAAGATGCGGGAGGAAATTAACAAAAAAAACACCTGTACGGAAAACGGCGTATATAAAAAAAATAACGTACACGGGATCAACGAATCTACACTAATCGTGATAATCTAGCCGTAATAAGAAATATTCAAAACATCAAGTAGCCGCTCTCGCTCTCCGATCTTTGTATCGATAATGAAAACAGAACCTAAGTATCCTATCGTCCTAACAATACCCCTGTTTATTTTCCGGATCGCTATCAGAAACATTCTCTGATCGATCAACGGCTCTTGCTATTAGCAGGACGAAAATATATGATACGAAACGTACGACGTTACTTAAACAACTTTGATTCGTCACACATAAATGAGTTAACAATAATCGAACGACACAGTCTCAACGAAACGAAAGAGAAGAAGAAAAAGAAAACAAAAAAAAATTTTGATACCGAACAAAAATAATACTGAGATATAAGAAACTTGTCGGCGAGAATAAAAAAAAATGATAGCGTTCGATACGCGACTCGAAAGCAGCCGTTACTTGCCGATATTCGGTTAATTATTTACTCACGGGTGTAAAGATGTATTTCCCGCGATTATTTTTCCCCAACCGTATCACTATTTCTAGCGATCGTTACGATATTTCTCCGTTTGCCTAACGTGGCCCTACGTTGGGCGCCAAATTTTCTTCCTGTGACGTTTTTCGCGGTGGTAACGTAATTCTCGCGCCGCTTTCCCGCAAACGGAGATTACTTCCCGGGACTTAGGTGAGCGTCCGCGAGAGGACAACGTCTAATCACTGGCAGGACAGAAAGGATGGCCCGGAACGAGCACCGTCTGGTCGAGTCGACGAATACTTGGATGTCGTTTTGGGCGCCAGACGCGGAGTCGCGTCAAAATTCAGCGTCACTCGGCACGACGGGCCGACTAGCTCTTTTGGGGAACGAAGAGGGGCGGGGTTTATCAAAATTCGGAATACGGGCTATCCCTTGACCTCGCAATAGGAAGCTCAAATAAAGGAAAGAGAGTGATAATTAATCGGCACAAATTAATAATTAATTGACAGTTTATTACGCGTGTACAAGGGCAGAAATAATATAAAAGAAATAATATAAAAAATAGTAGAAAGAAAAGATTGGTTACAAAATGATATAAAAGCAAAGCTACAGAAGTGATAATAAAGAAAAAAATATATAAGAAATACGGAAAAGAGAGGTGAATAAGCTACGGCGGTATCATCCGAAAATAATACAAACCAAAAGAAGACGCGGAGTCCACGACGACTTACATCAATTAACAAACCGTGTCACGCGAGTTAACGAGACAAATTAATGAATCGAAACGACACCGCAAAAGTACAGGACGCGATACGGTACTCGAGGATTCCAGCCAAGAGATAACAAGCGCAGGCACTAGAATATGGCAATCGCGAGGCGCAAAGCTAGAGGCAGGCTAAACAGCTAGAGAGTGCAAGCAGATGTGCAGGGCAAATACTAAGCCGCAATAAAATAGCGTGCAGTCGCCTTTTTACAAGCCGTGGATCAACCCGGACTTACTTGTTACGCTGAGGATCGCAATTTGGGTCGACTGGCTCACTCTGCCACGCAGTTTTCGCCGGTTTCGTGTCGCTAGGCCCAAAAGATTAAGTCGAGCCGATTTCTCAGTCTACGCACATCCACTCGAGAGAAAATACTCGCGATACAGAGCGAAGAAGGTGCGACGCCGGAGTGGCTTTTCTCGGTTGTTTATCACCAAATAATTAGCAACGCTCTTTATCTTGGCGTCAAGAAAATCGGCGACACAATACGTTACTCGACCGCGAATAATCCCGGACAACTTATACGCTCGAAAGGCGACACGCATTCACGCTCGCTAATAGTTCGGCGATAATTGTCCTAAAAATTCACCATCCGAAACGGTCGTTAATCCGCACGTTAATTCGGCACAATATTCCTTACCGATCACCACCGTTTCCGACTCGCACACACCTTACTCTAGCCGATCGCACGAGAAAAATCCGATTTCGTTCTGACAATTTCTTACCGCGGCGGCGGATTGCCGTCGGTAGCCGAGATCCGACGGTACGCAAGCGATACGTCTCGATAATCACAGCACGCGCACACGAATACGCTTGCTAGACAAACAAAACAAAAAAAAATAGAAAAAGACGGACACAAATAACGCGAATAGGCTACTCGGCACCGGATCGCCACTCCAGGGCTTGACTTAGGTTCGCGAAATTACAAGGAAACATGCACTTAACTTACGAATCTACAACTACGGCCACGAAGCCCCGTGAAGCCCGATTCTGGCCGCTGTCGAAAAACAATCGTGAATGCGGCCAAGGATACGTCCTTGCCGTCACAAACAAAACGCGAAAAGCAAGCGACCAGCCTCGACACGAGGCCTGTGCAACGCGGATTCGTGGCTAACAGAACTACAACGGGCACCTCACCGTCGTCGGTTGCTCTCCGGCATGTCCTGGTCTTCTCCGTCCGGACTGATTCGGTCAGCTCTNCTGGATTCTGCCGAGGTCACCCTCTCGACACAATTCACTCGGCCTCGAATCTTAACTCGCGGCACGGCAGACTATCTCGACGTCACGGAAGATTCGCGTACGTACGGNAGCCCGAAAATATGCGTGTGTCTCGCACAGCTGTTNGCGACCAAGAGCAAGAAGATCTTGTTCGATAAGCGGTCGATACCCCGAGTAGCGCAAAGGTCGCTTAGGGTAGGTCGCGGAGCCAATCAGGTCGCAGGATTAGCGGCGCGGCTCGCAAGCTCGCTCGCAGGCGGCAGGATCAGCGGGCCGCGAAATTTGAACGCTTGCAGTGTCTATAACTAGTTTACAGCAGCATAAGTAAAGCAGCAAGCAGCGGGGCGGGATAGCAATCCAGGAGATGCAACAATGAGATAAGCAGCGGGTCCTGGAAACCCTGCAGCAGGATGGCAGGAACACCGCACGTCTCAGCGTAGGCTGGCTCGTTGATGGTTTGTTCCGCCGTTTCGCCCGTTCCGCTAGGCTAAAGCGCCGAAGTTGCGTTGTGGCCTCTGTCTGCAGTCACCTACCCTGGCTCTCCACGTGACCGGGAAGTGAGACTTCGCGCCTTGGTTCCTCTCTCTCTCTCTCTCGTTCGGATACTGCCGTTGTCCTTGACGAAAAGTCCCTCGATATTTTCATGACGGTGAAGCGCTGCAATTACATATAATTCAAAAATAAAAAATACAAGACTATTCTAAGCGGATGCATGCAAGCTCTGGAGGATCTTGGCGTTTGTTTTTCAGCTCGTTTTCCCGGGCTCCCGCGAAATCTTTTAACTTTTGTGACGGTGAAAGAGCGGCGGGAGTAACACGTCACAGTATATATAAAAAATTTTTTACCGGGTAGATACGCTTTAGCGCCTCTAAGTCTCTGCGGCGAAAATGGCTAAGGCTGAATCCTCATGCACACCAGCGCTTTGACACCAAACGTTGATTGGTGAAAAGCAAGTGGTGAGGGTAAAATTAGGGCTGCCATTTATTCTCACCATCTGCTTTTCACCAATCAACGCCCGGTGTCAAAACGCCGGTGTCTGCATGAGGATCCAGTCTAAGGACGTTGACAGAATACGCGGTAGCGCCTCCCGTCGACAGGAATTGAGAGATACGCTTTTAGGCGTCTCTTTCGAGAGAAAAATACGCAGTAGCGTCTTTTCCCCGATAGATTAAACACAGTTTATCAACTTAAGTAAATTTACTTAAAGTCACTGAATACTAGTTAAAACTATTTAATTAACTCAAAAGAAGAAATGTTAAAATACAAAACTTAAACACGCAACTCCACTAAATTTAAAACTACTAAATGTCACTCACAGGTGACAGCCACACTGAATTGACTAAAACGAAATTAAATCAGAAACTGATTTATTCGCTTAATATACCTAAACAATTTGACGCAACCGTAAGAGTACTGAAGAAACTATTTGGTATTTGGTGTATTTTGGCTCAGAAGACCTTTAAGGTTAGTCCATACGCCATTCTAGTCTTTAAGAAAGATGATAAGTAAGATAGACCCCAGATATCTGGAGTTTGTATTAATTAATTATTATTTGTTGTTTTGTCACAAGGAGGGTTTGTGCAATATACTACTACCACGCGATACACGGCCTTCTTTCACAGTGGGCGTGCCCATCTGTGTCGGGCTCGTGTTCGAGGTGTTGTGATAATGATCGCCTTGTGGGAGGGGGAATTAATTCGGGATTACACCCGAATTAATTATTAGAGGCCCGATTAAGTTCGCCGATCAACCGATAAACCCGGTTGAAAGGGACCGGCCCGAAAAAAATCCTTAGGTGGTGAGCGGATTCGAACTCGGGACTTCCAGATTCGCAGCCCCTGTACTCAGGCCGCGAGACGACTGGGCCGGTCCTACTGAAGAAACTATTACTAACGATCGTAGAACTTACGATTATGATTCAATGCTAACTCGTAGACTATGCTTGATACTTGTGAACGATTGAGCAAGCCTGGACTCAATATGTTACGGACAGACTCGAAGTTAAGACACTTGGTTTACACGTACGAATGGAAAAGACTGTTACTAGTTTGATTCTTGAATATGGACTGACTGCTTGCTACGCTATGACTAAGGGTGCAGCTCCGTTTGCTTGGAGTGGAATTGGTGGGGACAGGACTTGAGGTGACAATCAGCCACTCAGGTTGAGAAGATGGTAGGAAACACCTGAGAAGTACCCGGAGGATTACTATGGTAGGAACCGGAGCATTCCCACAGCTAGAGCGAGCTCACGCCTCAGGAATGTCGCATCCTGATAAGATAAACTTATTTTTTTCGTCTCGGCGAGACTTATATTTTTCTTATGAGATAAGATAACGGTTGTACTGGTGCCACTTTGGCGCGTCGACTTTGCTTAAGGCTTTCTTTGTCGGTCACTTCAGGAATGTTATTTTGATCTTCAACGGCGCCTGGATGTAGTAAGACAATTTACTGAGTGCTCGTGCACTTTACATATTAAAGAGCCTTATACTATAAATGCTACATACGCTTTTACCATGCTACAGACGCTTAAATCTGGTTTATGCGAGCAATAATTATTACTAAACAAAGGTATTATGGCTTTTCAAGCAAACACGGATGTAGATGTGTGAATAGTTGAATCAATTTATTGAAACTTAGTGCAAAACGTTTTCGACCTTGTATTGTCTTTCTCAATGCATTTCTACGATTATAAAATTAATGTACAATTCAATTAACAAAATTTAAAAAAAATTTAAAAATCGCAGAGTAAATACATAATATACATGTCACTTACAAAATACTGTAGTAAAATACGTCGCACAGTGCTGTCAAGAATGTTCAAGTCGCACAAGCAGACCCGACCAACACTTTGCAAATAGAATACCGCGACTGAGAAACAGAGTGTGTATTTGAATAGAAGTCAAATCCGCAAAAACAACATGACACATTACGATGTATTATCGACAAAAGGTAAATAGAAATTGTCTAAGTTTCCCGTGTCACTCTGTAAAGTAAGCCCGCGGATTTGACTTCTTATATGTAGCGTTTCCGATATCAACCGTTTGTGATAAGATCTCTCAAATCTAATCCAAAATTTCTACCTTATCCCATTCAAAATCATGTGAATATTGTAATCTGTGGTCAGTTATTATAGATTTTTGAGTGGAATTTCTATTAATATGGTTTTTATGTTCTTTACTTCTGACATGTAACATTCTGCCAGCTTGTCCTACATACGAAGGTTCACATTCACGGCACTTAATCTTATATACAACAGAAAGACGTGAGAGCAGAGGTAAATTCTTAAGAACGTTGATGAATTTAGCCAGTTTGTCAATGCTATAAAAAGCTAAACGAGTATGTGAGTCTTTTGGAAATATGTTTAAAAATTTTTCCGAAAATTTATTGATGTAAGGCATGACAAACCAGTGACGCTGTGTATCATTAGAAATATTGCTAGACAAAAACCTTTTTAAGTCATTATTTTTATAGAAATTATGTTTCAGTCTAAGAGTAAAAATATCATATATGAAGTCCATTGGATAATTGTTATCAATTAATAAATTAAAAATATAGTCGAAATTCTTGGAATGGAATTTAGGATGTGATAAAAAGAAGGCTCTGTCTACAAGGTTGATGACCGTGCCTCTTTTTTAGCAAATAAGATGGTTGGAAAAATAGTTTTGGTATCTACCAGAGAACGTTGGCTTATGATACCAGTCGTGTATTAATCTATTATTATTTTTGATAATAGTAATGTCTAAAAAATGAAGTCTAACCTCCATGGTGAATTGAAGTCGAGGGTGATAAGAATTGTAACGATTTAATACAGCATCAAATTGATCTCTAGGAACCATAAGAGCTATATCATCAACGTATCTAACATGTAAAGATGGACAGAAGGAAAGAGAATCAATATTTTACATTTTTACACTTAATATTTTACATTTTTACACTTACCGTAAGTAAGTTTCTTATATCACGTAAGAGCTAATATTTAAATAAATAAATATTTGATATAAATTATTGAAGTCACTTTCAATGCAGAGTTACTCTTTTCAATGTTCGCGATAATATTATGGTAACATATGCCTGTCGGTATTATTGGTTACCGCATCGGTATGTATCATCGGTAACCGTGCCGATATATGGATTAAATCTCGGTCTGCTAGCGCATGGTAGTAGGAAGCGGCCGGAGGAGAACTACTTCTCCTCACGGCGCACGATATGGTGCTCTGCACTGTACATGTTACTCACTCAGATATGACGTAAGTAACGTGCTTTAGTGGTTTTCTAAAATCATTAAAGTTTGTAAACTAGCAGAGATGGCGGGAAACAGTTTTACAGGTACCTTCAATTTGGTGCCACTTAACCGACGACAATTAGTGGAAGTAAACAATTAGAATATCTAGAGAACCGTGAAAGTTAGGCCTGGTTTATGCGGGCAATAACTGTTAACTTATGCCGGAACCGGTGAATTCAGTGCTTCTGTTTATACAAAATTGCTGAATGCGTATAAACAGAAGTATTGAAATCCTATAGTTAAACTTTACCGGTTCCGGCATAAGTTAACAGTTATTGTCCGCATAAACCAGGCCTGAGGGAAAAATGGTTTCTTGATTCATGCTTCTAACACTTAGTTGCAAAATACTGCAAACTTAAAAGTTAACATTTTTTATTATTTAAATAACGGATTATTAAACAACAATTTTTGGAACTTCTAACCTGACTGGTATTATCCAGTTTAAGACGCTGATTCTCGTGGTACAAACGGTTTTGCTCTATCTTCTTTAGTTATTAACAGAGAGAAGCCTGAAAGCGGCCATAAGAGTTTCTGTTATAGCTTTTCGTGGACATGGTTCTATTCCGTGCTAAGTTTGTGGACATGGTTCTATTCCGTGCTATGAAAACACCGACGTGGTG